TCCGTGGTTATAAATGCTTGGTTATTATGTGCCTCTTGCTTTCAAATAGCCATAAAGTCGTAATGAAATGAACAACCTTTACCATTGCTACGTACTGACTATGTGTACAATGTATTACAAAGAGCAGTAAAGAGTATTTGTCCCTGTCAGAAGTAACATTAGTGTTTAGTAGCATATAGCCATACTCTGCACTACAGAAAAATAAGTAAAGCAGATATTTAACTATTAGATATATAATCTTATACTGATATTTTTTCTTTTGTAAATGGCCATGACCAAATATATACCAAGAACTCTATTAAAATTTTGATATTTTTCTCAAAAAACTGAGAACACATATTTTAAAAACAAAATTTACTGGAAAAAATGCTGGGTATTTTTTCCACTTATTTTTCTAGAAAAGCAATTTTCTTTTCACATCTTTTCTCCAGACCTTCAGAAGCTGCTATGCAGTATGGTCCTATATCTCCATGCTGAATGCAGGGGGGAATATTTTGTATTTAATCAATAGCAGACAGATTTATCTAGGATTTATTTTTTCATTTTCCTCAAAACTACTGGTCATTTTTCACTATAGAAAATGTACTTCTGTGAAAATCAACCAGGGCATTTGCTGTCAGTTTAAGCAAGCAAGAAGCAATGAGAACAAGAAAACCACAAAGAAAGTGGCCTCAAGGGAAAGCTCTGCATAATGAACTTGAAATTGCTACTGCTGGAAATACTGTTGCTGCTTTTCCTGCCAGGGCTGTCACCTCACACAGCAATTTTAGCTTAAAGCGGAGAGTGGAGCTTATCTACAGCATCACTAAAGACTGAGGTTTATGCTGCTAGATTTTTCCTAACTCTAGAGACCACTATGCTCTGTGGTATGTTGATGGCATTTTTAAAGGGGAAATAGGCCAAAAATAGCTCATGGTCTTGCTAAACGTTAAGAAGAAAAGATAAAGAACAGGAACAACAAAGCCTATGGAAGCCATCTTTTTAAAATAAATCTACCCCACACTTTTTAAGTGGGAACTCATAAGTGAAATGAATGGGGAGGCCATGCAACTTAAATGATAACAATTTGCCTGGAGATACACAGATCATCCTCAAGATTTTTAGCTCCAGTTCCCAGCTTCCCTTCCTGCCTGCTAAGGAAGTGTGAGGAAGTTCATTCTTGAGAGAAGAGCAGAGCTGCTCATTCCCCTAAGGGACAATCCTTTGCCATGTTAATTCCTAAAGATGGTCTCACAGAAGCCTTGGTTAGGGTTCAAGTCATGCCTAAATGAGAGAAATACGATGAATGAAAAGAAGTCAGAAGAGAAATCACAGTGCACAGTATTGTGAACTGTTCTTAACTTGAGGCATTCAGAACACAGATGAATATTTAGTGGTATTTTTAATGCAATAACTGCTTTTCAGTGTTACTCATCTATCTGAGTGGTTGCTGTAGCTACTGCATAACCCTGAGAATTGGCAGAGAGGGAATCGTGTATTCTACGATGTTCCTTGGCCCATATGAAATATTTCATGAACATTTGTATACCCTAAAATAGGTGTTAGCTGCAAAGATCTATGAATGTGTACACAGAAATTTCTTTCCTAATCCCTGTCCTGGTTTTGGCTGAGATAGAGTTAATTTTCTTTCTAGTAGCTGGTATAGTGCTGTGTTTTGGATTTAGAATGAGAATAACATTGATAACAATATTTTATTTGTTGCCAAACAGTCAAGGATTTTTTAGCTTCTCCTACTGGCCTGCTGATGAGAAGGCACGGGGTGCCCGAGAAGCTGGGAGGGGACACAGCCAGGACAGCTGACCCAAACTGGCCAAAGGGATATTCCATACCATATGACATCATGCGCCCTATATAGCTGGAGGGGTGGGACAGAAGGCAGTTCAGTTCAAGAACTAGCTGAGTATTGGCTTTGGTTGATGAGCAACTGTGCTGTGCATCACTTGTTTTGTTTATTGTTATTATTTATTATTGTCTTCCTCTTCTGTCCTATTAAACTCTCTTTATCTTGACCCACAAGTTTTACTTTTTTTCTTTTTTTTTCCCCTCTTTCGATTCTCTCCCCCATCCCACTGGCAAGGAGGGAGTGAGCAAACGGCTGCGTGGTTGTTTTAGCTGCCTGGTGGGTTAAACCACGACAATCCCAAATAAAGATTATCAGCCTTAAATTTCAGGATTTATCTTGTTTAAGTGCATTAATATACCCTCAGATATCTTGTCATATAAATGAATGTTTAATTCTTACTTGAATCCTAGATCTTTATAGGAAGTTATGTCATATGTGAAAAGATAGACCATAAAATAAACCTCATTAGTATTTTAGAAGTGCAGATTTAAGGTCATTCATTTATACAGGTGCTAGCTATTGTAAACCATATGTGACACTAGGGGAAGTTTGTTTATGGAGTCAGTTTACTGGAAAATCAGCAAGGTCAAAGCTGCTCTAGCTCTAATATTTGGTATGAGTCAGGTTTGACATTTCAAGTTAAAAAAGAGCTCAGAATTTAGAACCAAGTTAAGAATATACTGGATGGATGATTTTGGGAAGGACAAATTAAATTTCTAAATTGACATGCAGTGCTAAAACTAGGAACAGCTTGCCTGGATTCAGAAAAATGACTAATACAGAAAAAAAATGAATTTATTTGGGAGGGAGGAATCAGTGTAAAAAAAATGTAAGTATCCTGTGCAGAAAACCAAAAAAGGGACAAGTGTTGAGTGGTTGGCAATAAATACATTACTAGTACAAAACCACCATGAAAATCAATCAGCTAATAAATTAATCAGAATCTCAGAGGTGAAAGAAGAAGAAATATTAATTTTAGATCTCACCCCTCCCAAACTCTGTTCCTGGCTGTCGAATGGGTTGTCACATTGCAGACAGGATACAATTACCATGGAGACAGTTATAAGAACTTTTCCTGTAATATAGATTTTGCTGGGTTAATATTTCTTTTCTGTGCTTCCATAAAAAGAAAGGACTGTCTAAATGCTAGTTATGAAGTATGTATTAATATTAAATATCTTTATGTAGGGTGATTTTTGTATTGTTCCTATTACACTCTATATAGTGACCCAGGACTAAGAGCCTTCCCTTTGGTTACTTAGAGGGAAGCTGTAGTAGAACAAGGATCTGATCGCTGCCTGTCAGAGCTTAGGCTGATGCCCATAGGGTGCTCATTCTTGTCTTGCTCCTTCTTGTAACAATTATGCACACTCCATTTTTATCTAAGTACAAATATCTTTTGTACTTTTATGTAAGTATAAATAAAACAATTATATATAATGTTCTTTGGAATACTGGAAAGCCTGCACTTTGTATTCTTAGTCTTCAGGTGAAAAATGTTCTTTTCCTTATACTTTAGAAGATGTAATTATATGTCAAAAGGTTTTCTCAGCTTTAGGGAAGGATGACCTCTGCTTTTAACAGCTGTTAAAATATCTGTGAGCTAGGAATTTTAATGTATATCATTCTTCAGGATATCTGTACAGCAATCTAAAGTTGTATGGCCCTGTTAGACAGAATAAGGTAAAAGGTACTTCTAATATCCTCACTTTTTTCATTGCAAATTATATTTCTGTACCTTAACTTGTGTAGGTCTGTCCAAAAGTTTACGTCGTCAGAGCTTTCAGATTCTCCATTGCAATTCTTCATTGTCAGTTTTGGAATATTCTAAAGATGTTTTGCCCCGAGACTTAGCGAAGAAGTACACAAGTAATTCTGTTACATTAAATGTCATTTTTTGACTGGTTGCAACTTGCATATGCAGTGGAAGGGGTAATGGCAGTCCCTGTGCCAGAGGAAATGCAGAAATTGTTCCATCCTGGAATATGCCAGGCATGCAAATTATGGTAAAAAGGGCAAGAGGGAGATCACCCTCCCTTTCCTCTACCCTGTAGAGCTGATTATTGCCAGTCATGCTGGGAGAAGAAGGGGAAGGAATTGTACTGGGAAACAGAATCTCTCCCAGAACTTACTGAAATTGAAAAATATTTTCCTTCCAATTCTGAAGCATCAATAGGCTGATTATTGAGATGAGTAGTGCTTGTAATGAAGGATGGAGGAAGGAGAACAGCTTTAGCTGAGCTGCCAGTACAGAAAAATACAGAACCTGTATTTATTGCCAAATTCCAGATGGATTCTTTCAAAGTAAAGCCATAGAAACATAGATACAAATGCCTGTTGTGCTCAATGGCATATCCCACTCTGATTACTTCTGAGGGTAGAGCACTATGCCTAGTGTAGCAAAAGTTTTGTCTTCTGCTGAGTTCCACATCATTCTGACCCTTGCACCTATGTACCCACTCTAAGAGTATTTTTGGTCAGCTAAGAACTTCAACACTGCTCCTTCCTATTCTTGGAGCAGAGGGTTTTCTTCATTCAGGTCACCATTAAAGACAGGAATTGTAACAAGGAAAAATTGTTGCCAGCAGCTGATGAAGACAGGAAGTGAGGATCTCCTTTCCTATAACTGAATGAGCAGTCTTCCCATTTGCTAACCCTAGCTTCCCTACCAACCAAAAAGAAGAACCTGTATTCCTAGATCAGCAGATTCAGAGATCGTGCTCAGAGCTGGAGAGTTGAGTTTGCTGACACACTTTCTCTTTCTGTTCTTGCAGAAGATTGAGCACTGTACATCATAGATGCTTCCCTGGTGCTGGACTCTACTTTTTCCTGGAGTTTGGAAATCTGCAATAATTTTACTGAAATGTATTGAGTTTGGCAAAAAAAATCAGTTAAATGCAGAATCTGACTTTGTTCAGGTTGCCTAGTCCTTGATGTTCCATTATTCCAGAGGAAAGGAGTTACTGTGACTCACAGAGCGTTTCAGTTCTCACCTTTATGAATCATATTAAAACTGAGGGTTGGTTGGTTTGTTTTCTTCATGAAAGTTGTAGGGGTCATTGGGCTGAATTCTCCTTATCATTGTCATAATTTTGATGACCTTGAATTCAAGATCGAATTACATTTCTTATGTGTACTGATAATTTGTTAATTATAGATGAAGAAATGTGGAAAAATTGCTTACATCAAAGCAAAATTTGCTTACATCAAAGTAGAGAGAGGATACTTGTTAGCTCAGGTATTGAAATTTCTATTTCATCTAAAAATTCCACTAGGATCAGAAGCCAGTCTAAAGTAATAAATAATTATTGCTTTTGTGACAAACTCAATTTTGCTTTTTACACACTTGCCACCACAGTTACTTGTGCTGCATTATTTGTAAGAACCACTTTCCTCCTCTATGTGTCACAATTTAGCCCAAAGTCATCTATGTAGATCTGTATATAACTAAGCCAGGCCATTAATTGCATTCTTCCTGTTGACAGCAAACTCTGCTTATGAGCCATCACCCATAGGTTGGGGTTTTTTTGTAACCAGTGCTGTGTGTAGAACTATTGTGATATATGAAAAGGTTTATAGTTTCCTGTTAGGTCAAAGGTTTAGAAAAATGTAGGCAATGAATCAGATTTGTTGGCATTATTTCTTATATTTGTGTGATATTGAGACTTCAGTTTGCTAGTCTTCATTGCTGTTTATGAAAGTGTGATGTACCTATCAATAAGCTTTACTGCTTTTCATATAGAAGAGTGGAAAAGCTTTGCCTTCAAGTCCCACAGTGAATCAAAGTTGGAATACAGTGGTCAGTATTTGACCTCTTTTTGATCATACCTGTGCTACCTGCAATAAAGCTTCAGTGTCATAGGTTTAGATATAAACATGCTTAAGACTTGGCTTTGGCTATTAATTCTCAATGCCATAATTGCCATGAGTAAATTAAAGGTCATGTTTTGCTGTACAGGTAAATACACATCTTGGAGGGGGTATTTTACATTCAAAATCTATATTTTTCTTTTTTTATTTGTGATTTTTTTCCCCCCCAACTGTAATGCAACTGATCTGTAGGCATGAGAACTTTATTCATTTTGGTGCAATGAATGTGAAACAGGCCATGCTTAATGTTAAAATATCAGTGGTGTGACACTTTGTTCAAGCATGAGCAACAAAGCTAAAGCCAGGCTTGATAAACTTAGCTGGCAAAATATGAATCAAACCCTGTTAAATACATCCTGGCAAACCAGTCTTCTGATGTGAACAGGAGCTATGTTGTCATTTTTTACTTTTTTTTTTTTTCTCCCCCCCCCACCATGGTCCAAAATTTAGAGCTCAACCTTGTGAATTGCTGCGTGTCAGGGAAAGTCACGTGGGAACTGAAATGTCCAGCATCTTCCAGGATTAGGCCTTCACTTTGGTCCACATCTTGTGTGTTATGCAATCTGTTGTTCTTGAACTAATAGATTTCTTTCTTTCCCCTCATCCTGAAAACTGGCTTATGTTACATCAATTCCAAGTCCCGGTTATAGAAGTTTATTCTCTTTTAACGCAAATAAAGTAAAGCAAGCCATAAGGCATATTTCCGTCATAAGAAGGTTATGTACAGAACTTGGTTCATTTATGTTGTCTTTTGTGCTGGTTTGGTCTTGTTTCCTTTCTCTATCCAGAGATAGCCATCTCTGTAATATTAGTATATTTTACTTGCTGTAATCTGATGTATCATTTCTCTCCCCTTTTTTCTCCTTCCTTAAGATTATCATTGGAGAAACTGCAGTGTTTTGTCTACAGTTAGCTACAAAGGATTTTGAAAACCAAGAAAAAACAATATTAACTGGAGACTGTTGTTATATAAATCCACTGGTGCGCAGGACCATCAGATTCCTTGGTATGAGCAAAATTAATGCTTTCATTTTCTGAATGGTGAGAGTGATCAATTATGTCTTAATTTTGACCTGGGGAAAGTACTCAGATAACCATACAACATTTCATGTGTAGTCTTAACACAGGTGCAGTGAGTTCTCTCCTATTGGGTAGCAAATGAAGCTTTTTGGAAGTTTGGATAAAAACATAGTTGCAGAAACAGCAGTAAAAAATAGAAAAAAATTGGGTCAAAATCCATGCACCACTGAAGTCAGCTGTAACTCCCCCATTGACTTTAATTGATATGAGATGTCATCCTTTCTACTTTGTTCATTGTAAATGTGTTTGGAGGGAGAAGTACCACCACTCAGAATCTCTCTTGAATATTCTCAGATTCTGCTTATTAATACATGCAGGGATGCCATAGCAGGGCTCAATTCTGTTTGCTTCTCACTCACGGTTATATCTAAGAGAAACAGCTGGAGGAATGAAGCATTGGGGCAGCTAATCCTCCTGTATGCCCCAGTCACAGGGGGAGTGGGGGGATGTAAAGCTGTGTCTCTATTTGCAGTGTTTGTGCAACAGCTGTGCCTGCCTTCTGAGAGCACAATTGTTTGCTGTCACACTGGAGTGCTAAAAGTCATTGAGACTGTCTTGCATGGGTCCAGAGAAGGTGGGGAGTGATGATGAGGAGCTCCTCCTGCTCCAGTTGCTCTGTGTGTAATCAGTGCCTGCATTTCCTTCCCACTTGGTGGGCCCTGCTTGCTCACGGAAGAAAAAAAAAAAAAAAATTGGGAGGGAGAGAAAGAACAGTGGCCTCCGCACTGTTCTACCAGATGAGGCATCACTACCCATTATGCTCACACAAAGTAATGCAGCCACCTATGTTGGGGCAGTACACACCCTCAAGGCTTGCTGAAAGGGCCCTTCTGTGCAGCCACTCACTGGGCACAATCCACTGATCACCAGTGCCTAGCAGCTCAGGGTGAATTAACATTAGTGTGGCATTGCTGACCAGCCAGGATCCCAGAAATCATCCTTGGTCCTCTAGCTTTGCTGAGGAAAAAACCTGATTTTAGAAATGCATGTTTCTGTGGGATCATGTCTGCTGTGGTGTACATCCATTAAAGTCCTCGTGGTGCCCCATGAAATTTGGAGCTGCTAGAACTCGCACTATATACACAGGCAATTGAAGTATGGGAAAGGTAAGGTGATTTGCCCTTGGAAATCCAGGAGGAAATCCATAGTTCAGGTGGAATTTGAACATGTACCTGCTGGCTTTGCCTCCCAATCAGGGTGAACTGTTTGAATTTCCTTCCAGAGCTCATTTTCTGCTTCCAAAAGGATAGAAAGGGACCTCAGAATAGCAGAAATATGTTTTCTTTTAAGTAATCAGATACATGCATTTCCATTCTAATGAATGAGTACATGTGCTTAATGCTTTGCTGATGTCTGATTAAAAAACTCTTTAACATGAGTAGCTCCTCAAATATATAGATCTTTAGCTCACTGTGTTGATGTTGTGATTAATATGCCTTGCATAGAGATGTCCCCAGCAGCAGGCAGATGGAGACAACTCGTGCATGGCAATATTGAATTATTCAGTACTTCAGCTTCTTTACAGCTGCAAGGGAAAAGAGAATGTTTGTCCAGTATGTGTTACAACTTTTCAAGTTACTTTTCCATCAGGTTCTCAAGCAGATTTATCGGGTGAAGAATTTGCCTCTGTCACTTCTGTTTAGTGAACATGGGCAAAAGTTAGGTACCAGTATAGCTAGTTACCCTGAACAGTGGAGATTCATGGCTAGGGGACCTAGGAAAGCAGGTTACTTGCACAAGGGGTGAATGTGCTCCTCTGAAAGATGGAGAAAGCTCAGGCGTACGGGTACGTTGCAGTGTGGCTGCTGTGGTTGTGTAGGAAAGTACTATCTCCAACTGAGCCAGGGTCTTTAGGGTACATGTGAGGGTTTTTCATGCATTAAGTGGAAGGAGCTGGTATATTACTGTGATAAATACTATAATTTGTTGCACTGGAGTGAAATTGTCAGGAAATTTAACTCTCTGTTTTCCTCTTTAGGAATTTACGCATTTGGACTGTTTGCTACGGACATCTTTGTAAATGCTGGACAAGTAGTAACAGGGAATCTTGCACCACATTTTCTTGCACTTTGTAAACCCAACTATACAGCACTTGGATGTAAACAGTATACACAATTCATCAGTAGTGTACATGCCTGTACTGGAAATCCAGACCTTATCATGAAAGCCAGAAAGACATTCCCATCCAAAGAAGCAGCACTAAGCGTATATGCAGCTATGTATCTGGCTGTAAGTATATTGTACTATTTAATGTCACTCTATTTTTAAGAGCGAACGGCTCACACTGTGAGGGGAGGAGGGAGGAATGGGGAGAAGATAAGACAACTCTTGGCTGATTTTATATATGTAAACCTTTTATGAATTACTGTGAGGCCTTTGAGAATTTGGTTCATTGGACTTAATTCTGACAATTACAGATGTAGCGGTTCTCTGAGCTTTGAAAGCTAAGGCAATGGTGAGAGAGGGCAAGTTGTCCGAAAAGGGTTGTAGATTTAGGATAACCAGGTTTTTGGTTTACTTTTTCCTCATTTCCAGAGAATGTGGGAGGAGGCCTCGTTGGGTGGGAAAGAATAAGGGTAGGGATTGCCCGTGACTAGAGTGGTTCCTTTCCGTGTTTTAACCCAGTACAGATTAGTAGAATTGCACATGGCTGTATTCTTTGGTGCGGTGAAGAGTGGGCATACATAAGTGTCTGATCTCTGCAGGTTTCGTGAGATCTGTGCGTGTCTTTAGGTACCAGAATTGCTATTCACAGGTACCTCAATGCTCATGCAAAGTCAGTTTGGCTCTTATTCTGCAATGGAGGTGGCTATAATACAATCCAGCCCTTTTTCCCTCTTTCCTCTTTTATACAGGGAGTGATGAGCAGGGCAGGGATAAAACTGGTGTTTACTGCCTGGCATCAGAGCTGTTCTATGGGTTATTGAGAAATGTGAGGAGGCAGGTGAAAGGCAGAGTGATGGTGGCTAATGAATTTCACTTGAGTAACTCTGTGCAGTACTCACTGGCTTAGTTTGGAGTGCAGTTTGTTCTAGTCTTAAGCAGAAGCACATCTTCTTGTTAGTAAAGCTGTCCCCAACACATGCCTATGGGCGTCTCTTACCCGACCTGCGCTGGTAATCACAGTCCTTTGTAGCCCTTTGGATGGGCCCAGGACTGTCCTCATAGTGTCAGTGGGAAAATAGGCAAGTGTGCGTGTACCTCTGTGGTTGTTGCAGGAGTCATCCCTTAAATTCCCTCAGTATTTGAACAGTGGCCTGCCTATACATGTGTGTGTATGTATGTCTGCCTATATACACATGTACATATATATGTATGTATTGCTTTTGAGCATATATTTAATGAGCTGACTTTCAATTCCCAATTGAGCTGGAAACTGATACTTGCCAATATGGCAAAGATCCCAACCCCATCCACAGACAGTGTGCCAACTCCATGCTTCTGAACATGCTTTTAGAACCAGTTGCCCAGTTGCTTAAAATCTGCAACACTGACGGTAACATTTGTCAAAAGTTCCTTGTGAGCAATGTCTGCTTAAGAGATGTGGATCATCAGTTAGTACAGTCAAGTGTTATCTGCAAATCAGAGATGAGCAATAAAATTCTATTCTAACTTGAGGCAATCGTAAGACTCCTAATAGTATTATCTATTTGGGGAGATATGTAAGGCTTTGCTTCACTGAAACGTACCTCTAAATTTGGAACAAGCTATTTTAGAAAATATTCAGCATTCTTCATTTTAATTGCTCCTATTTTTCTCATCCATCTGTAAAGTTGGATTTCCACTGTTGCCATGAGTCACAGTAACTAAAAGAAACCAACTGTTCAGCTACTGCAAAGCAGGAAGGAAAATAGTGTTAATACATTTTAAAAACAAAAAGTAGACATTAGTAAGGTCTAATACCTAGTGACAATGGCTTTTGACATGAGCAAGAGTGCTTTATGCAAACCTTCTGTTATCTGTGAATCATAGAATCATACAATGGTTTGGGTTGGAAAGGACCTTAAAGATCATCCAGTTCCAACCCCCCTGCTGCAGGCAGGGACACCCTCCACTAGACCAGGTTGCCCAAAGCCTCATCCAACCTGGTCTTAAACACTTCCAGGGATGGGGCATTCACAATCTCTCTGGGAAACCTATTCCAGAGCCTCATTACCCTGTGGTCAATATACAGTTAGCAACATCAAAAATTAAAACTGCTGTGATCTATTTCATGACTTTATAATCTTTCAGTAACTGCAGAAATGAATATATCCTATGTCATTATTGTATTGCTGCATGGTGCATGACACTGTCATCATTTAACTAAAGCACTATAAACTGTTCTCAGGATTTCGGGATTCTTACAGACTGCCTAATAAAGTGAATTACTATGATGTATCAGCTGAAGTGTAGCCTGCAAATTTAGGACCTTGATGCAATATTGGCAGTCCTTTTTATTTAGTAATTTTTTTAAATCCTCTTGCATGGTTGCAGCTAAAAATACTGTTCATTATACACCAGGGAAAGAAATGCAATGTTCCAATATTCGGGGTCATGTCCTTACACTGTCATTATGTTTATCAGCGTAGTTGGCCCTGAATAACAACTTTCTCATCACTATTCACTGGAGTAGAAGATTTAAAACAGTAGCCTAGTCTTTGTATGAGCCATGGTACAACAGTTATTGAGAGCATGGCCATAAAGACCTCCATATATTACTCGGTATTTCATGAGCATATAATCTCTGATACAAAATGTGCTTTCTTTTTGGTTAACAGAAATATTTGGGAGAGAGAGAGGGATTGTTACAGAATTCTCCCTGGACATTTTAGCCAGCTGTACACAATACAAAACCAGCTTAAAGCCATAAACTGGCAATAAGTTGATCCAAAGTCCTTGCTCTCTGAGGGGGTGAAGTAAACCTCATACTTGTGTGATTTCAGTGATCATTTCAAAACAAAGCCTATGCTTTATCTAATAATTCCCCTATCTTGTTCCATTTAAGTGTAGCCATGTCCTTATCACATACCATCTGTGCATATTGTCTTGTTAACAATAGCTTCTTTTTTTCATCTAAGTTCTTGAGTCTTCCTTTTTCCCCCCCTCCCCCTCTTTTGAGAGTGGGTGGCTGCTATGGTAACTCTGAATTCCCCTCCTGCT